CAGCCATCCAAAAATGTCCTAACTAAGGACCACAAATGGCTGATCCTCTCAAAAATTAAAGAGAGAAGCCAAACGCACTATAGCGAACCCCGTCTTTTCTCTTTAATTATTGTATCCGGACTTAGGTTCCGTGGATCCTGTCATTACTTATGGTTGTTGTTGTCCTTTAATCTTCTTTTGTATTTAAAGTATAGGTTGTGTTGGCGGGTCTGTTACAGGTTGGTTGATTTTAGATGCCAATAGGTGATGCCCAGATTTTGGCCTTCACGCTCGAGCGGAAGTTTAACGCTCGAGCGGTCCTTTCGTTGTTGCTTCTCCGCTCGAGCGGAGGAATTTGACGGCTACGACGCGTGATTTTTCCATCTCCCAGTATTTGCTCTGCAGTTTTCCGCTCGCGCGGATTTTACGCTCGAGCGTGATCCCTTGTTTTTGCCCTTCCGCTCGAGCGGGGAGTTTGACGCTCGAGCGCGGTGCCAGCGCCTGCAAAACTTCTGGAAGGATGCAATCAGCACTCGAGCGGCTTTCTTCACGCTCGAGCATGATTCTGTGTCTTACGCTCGAGCGGGGATTTCTACGCTCGAGCGTAGAGTCGATTATATCAGTCCTGATTTCACTTTTTCGATCACTTTTTGACCTACTTTTCCTTCATAACTTTTTAAAAACCGCCCCTGGAGTGTTTTTTATCTCTCTCTCTCCCTCTACACACCTTCTCTCTTTCGAATGATCTACCTTAGAGTGAGCTACCTTAATCCTTTATTAAAAAGTGTAGAGTTAGAGTTGAGGGCTTTGTTTTAATCTGAAACTTGGGATTTGGAGCACGTTGGTCTTTGGTCTTCATCTTCATCTTCTCCATACGGGTTATTTTTCCTTCGAGGTAGGGATTTTCCTACTCCATTTTATATGCTTTGTTCTAAGTTTGGTATTTTGAATAGGTTGGGAACACTTTGAAAATTTTGGGGAAAAAAAAACCTAGTTGAATTGCTAAATTGATTTGAGTAATTAACTTAAGGAAATTGGGGAATTTGGTTAAATCCATGAAATGGGGAATTTATTGATTAAAGTGTGTAGTTGGATAATATAAATCACTCGCCTATTGAATTGTTGGTATATTTATTTTCGAGTTAGAAATAACTATTTTGGGCTATCGGTGGAGGATAGTCGTGCTTGTTGTAGACTTGCATTCTGCGGATTAGGGAAAATTGAAACTAATCAATTTGTTAGTCATAAATTTAGACTATTGAATTAATACAGAAATTACATGTATTGATGGAGCATTGCATATGCATATTGTTTGGGAGGAGATAGGGGATGTACTCCACGGTTTAGAGGGAAGATAGGGAGGACTCTAAACGGATTCTTGTTTGTTTGGGAGGAGATAGGGGATGGACTCCATTAGCATTTTTTTTATGTGTGCTTATTATATTGAAGTGTTTTTACATGATTATTGATACAGCACTAAAATGTGTATCAAATGGGAAGTATGAAGTGTTTTGATATGAGCATGAGTCTCATTTGTTTTGTTGATATTGGGAGTAATGTGAATATGATATACAATTCACTGTTGTAAGTTGGCCAGGTTCTGAGCCGTGTTGATAATAATGGAAAGTGAAATGTGTCTTAGACATTAGTGTTATGAGACTGTTTAATAATAAAATTGATTATTTTGATTAACCATCTATTGAATGCTATAGCTTTATTCTATGCTTATATTTGGTTTAGTATTTTTCTATTGGGCTGTGGCTCACCCTTTATGGGAACATCATTTTCAGGTTCAGGTGATAAGCTACCTCCACGGACTTAGCCTGGAAGGATTTGATGTTTGGGATTTTGAAGACTTGTTTTTAGTTATATGTTTTATTTTGTTATTTTTTTGAGATTTCATGTCAACATTCAAGCCTAGGGCTTAACTTGTAAATGAGTTAGTACTCATCCTTTTTGTGTCCAAGTGTTAGCTTGGAACGATGTAAGCCCTTAGGGCATTTATTTTGATGTTGCAGGATGTTACATGTGATGTCTTTCAATAAGAATACTCTGATGAATAACTCAAATGATTCGTTTTCTTTTATAAATGCATGTTAATGTTATGGTTATTATGGGTTTATTTTGAGGGCGTTACACGCACAAATGGCAAAGACCCATGACTGCAATGCTCTCACTAAAGAAATAAAAATAAAAAAATCTGCTAATGATTTTTATTATATTTCTTGAAGGATTATAGTCAGGAACTGATGGAGATAAGAACAACTGCAGAACAATATAAAGGCTGCACAAAAGCAATCTACAGAAATTTGTAATCAATGATCCCTTTAAGTAGTGAGAAGATTGTATTGGAAGATTAAATTTTTTGAAATTCCATCTGGAGATTATAGAATAAAAATTTGGTTTGTAACCCCTAAGAAACCTAATAAAGATTAGGTTTGATTTGCAAGGTGAAGGGTCATCAAGGATAAAAAGACGAAGTAAGAAAGGAAAAGAAAATAGAGAAATGTAGGTTTTCTTGCCCAACTATTATGTCAACCTATTTATCTAGACCTCAATTTTTGTGTATCCAAGTTTCTTGCCCCAACTCTTATTTAAAATATCTATACCCTTGTCAAATTTTGTACAATTTGTGCAGTTTACATATGAACTATCAATATCTGTATTCTGTATTTTCTGAATTTTATTGTGTAACATAAGCACTAATCATTAAAATTCACTGAAAAATATAATATATATAACATATATGTATTGATATTCTAGTAAGTGAAATGATATCCATAACAATAACGCATTATTTTACATGACAAATTAGGTGTTAATGCTTTACATCTAGGATCAATTATTACAAAATTAGGATATAGAAAATAAAGGAGGGATAATCATTTGAGGTGGTATGACAAAATGCAATAGAGATCAAACAATGCGCCTATAAGAATTCAGGTTTGAGAGTACCAAAAGACAAAGGGGTACGCTGAGAAGGACATAGGTTGAGTTGGTTCCAAAACAAATAATTAACTTAAACTTGACTGAAGATATGGTTTTTAAAAGAAAAAATTGGAGAAAAATTTTACAATAAGTAAACCCCAAATAATTGGGAGTCACGCATGTTGTGAATTTCATTCCATTGTACATGTCAAAAATCAAACAAGTGTGAGGGACACTAATTTTAGATTTAGCATATAGCTATAACATATATAAGGACCCCACTAAGTATGGTACACTATTTTATTCTCTTTCACTTCTCTCTTCTCACTCTCTGCCTCTCATCTCTGTTCCATATTACCTGAGAATCTAACAAGAAATTGTGAATTTCATTTGAAAGTGCACTGAAAGATTCTGTTTCTAATGTTTATGAGCTTGGGATATTCTTTTTTTTTTTTTTTTTTAAGTCAGGGATGACACATAGTTGAGTAATATGATTTGGAAAACTTGAATTTGTCTACTTCTCTTATGAGAAATTATAACCAAGTGTACAACTGTCGACTCTAGTTCTAATAAAATTGAATTAATTTAATCTGTCTACTTGTCTAAAATTGGTCGACTGAGAGCTTTTTGAAATCAGGCATTTCCTCAACCCAGCAAAGGTTTGAAGCTCAGTTCTTGACCTGATTGGCTCAAACAACCTGAAGAGAAAAGAATGAAATTTCTATCTGGGGATATTCAAATTTTCAAAAACCATAATTGAGGCTGATTGACAAATTGGATGCTTCAACACCTGATCCAGCTAGATCCTTCAAAATATTAGAGTAGTAATCATCACATTTGGTTCCACTTTTTGAACTCAATTTTTAGGAAAATTTAGAATTTTTGCTTGGTGAACTCCAAAAATACAAAAAAAATTTCCAAAAATCCAATTTTCCAAACCATTTGGGAAAAAGAAATTATTTCTTCTTTATGTCAAGTGATTAGATGTTTTCCAGAGAACTTCTGAATTTAATTTTAACAACCAAACAATGGTCACTTTTTCAAAAAAAAATTTCAAAAACAAATTCTGAAAATTAACTCAAAAAATGAAACCAAACATGGTGAATATTTTTTTAGAATAGTAAGTTTATTTAATCACCTTAAAAAAAATGGAACAAGGTAGGGAGGAAGAAAAAGAAGCAAAACAGTTACAATCTCTAAAAGAAATGAGGCTGCAACTTCTCAGTTCGGTATGCAGTAAAACCAACCTTTCACAGGCTTTAAAACCTTAATAACAACAAATCTGAACCTTTTAATCACAATAATCTCAACCATTAATTAAAATTAGAATTTGCAAAGAAAAAACAGAAGGCCTAGAAATAGAAGTTGTCAACTGAAATGAAATTAATTCACTAAATTAATCTAAATAATAAATTCAAACACTTCTTAATTCTGAATGTTGTTAAGTCATCAATTGTCTCAAAAGCTTAAGTTGTTAGAAACTACGCC